GGGTCTCCTGGTCCGTGTCTCCTGGTCCGGGTCTCCTGGTCCGGGTCTCCTGGTCCGTGTCTCCTGGTCCGGGTCTCCTGGTCCGGGTCTCAGCCCGGTGATGCTAGCATTAGCTCGGTGTAAAAAGCTGACGCAGTCGGAGATCAACGCTCGGTTTTACACAATGCAGCCGCCATTATTTTAGTTTCCTGTTTTTAACTCCTTTTCTTCAGTGTCCGTGTTTTTATTCAGGTTTATGAGAAATGTTTCAATATAACGCTAATGGAGAGTAGATGATCTCCTTCAGTTTCATAAAACAACCAAAGAGAATCTAAATTGTGTCAAATCAGAAAAAACTTTTGCCCAGCAGAACCAGCAGAATACGAATCATCAGGAAACCTGCAGTTATTTTCCTGTTTCTACATCAGAGTCTGGAGTTTTCTTGATCTTATCGATTGGCTCTGCAGAATAAACTTCCTGGTTTCCCGGCGTCGTCCTGCTGCTCTCTACCCGCCCCCCTCTCAGGGTTTGTGTTTTTGTCCTCAGGTTTTGGGACTTCGGCAGACGTCTGCCTCTCCTGGACACAGTGGAGCATCATTCAGAGTTTGTCTGTGGATTGGACTTCAACCTCCACGTCCCCCACCAGGTGACCTGTTTATCCCACTCATCCTCTTCACTTCCTGTTGTTGACCAACTAAAACACACAACCTGTCTACCTTTATATGGTAAATTCAGTTTCCATTTCCCTTTCCAGCCTTTCATCCCTCTCGCTCTCCTCGGCTCGTTGTCTGGACTTTTCCTCCTTGTTGCTCTGTAATAATAACTGATAGTGATGATAATCACTCATCCCTCCCTCTGACCCTGCAGTCCTCCCTCATCTGTCTTCATGACCTGTGGGGAACCTGAGATGTGTTTTATCCAGTAGGTAGTTGCTAGGTAACCAAAGACTGAGTGAGGTAGTTGATGCTACCCAGCTAGCTTAGCTAGCCTTGAGCGGTTGAGCGGCTAAAGCCTTTCGTCTGCCTACGTCTCCCAGAATGCCTTGCAGTTCTGGACCAAAGTTCAGTGTAATTACTGAATATTCTATCAGACGTTTCTATGTTTTCTATGGATATTGATCATGTTTCTCTGACAATAGATATCGTTATTGTTTCATCACCCAGCCCTAAATGTCCCACTCTTCATCCTCATCCCTCTTCCACACCGCTTTTCATCCCACTCATCCTTCGTTATCCCATTCATTCATTTTTAGCATGCTCTTCCTCTCCTCATCTAAAGGTTTGTCCTTATCTGTTTGATCATTTCCTCCTCTTCCTCCTCCTCCTCCTCCTCCTCATCCATCCAGTCTGACTTCTGTATCTTCCAGCCTGTAAATCTCTAAAATCGCGGCTGTTTCATGTCCTGACAGCATGAATGAAGTGAACTAAACGGTTCGGATCAACGGGAGTTTCCCTGATGTGGGAACATCCTTCCTGTCAGCGCTCCGCTCTGAGATAACAGAGTGTGTGTGTGTGCGTGTGTGTGTGTGAGGCTGAATTAGGGTCATCCATCACTCTATCTGCAGATGGCCGCTCAGAGCAGCGAGTCGTAAAAGCCTCTGGTGTCTCGTCCCGTTGTGGGTCCGGTCCAGGCCGTCGGGTCAGTCTGAGCTCAGAGGCTCACCATCAGGCGACGCAGATCAGCCTGCAACCAAACCACCGTTTTATTGATCAGCCTGGATCAAAACCAGCATTTTATTGATCTGATGGCAGGTTTCCATTTTCTGAGAAGCTGGATTTCAGGTTTTCTTTGAGCTTGAAGCAGAAACGAGTTTCACTTCTGGAGCAGATGAACCTTTAGCCACAGCGCTGAGCAGCAGCATCATCACGGCTAACTTCCTCCTGATGATGATGATGATGATGAGCTGCATGTGTTGTTGGACTGAAGGGAAGAGATTCTACCTGAGCTTTTAAAAGAAGCTCATTTCCATAAACCTGACAGGAAGTTCAGACGGACAGTTAATCTCATCTTCATCTTTAGCTTCGTTTTTAGCTCTGACTGAAATCCTGGCCAGGGTTTGTTTTCCCAGCTGTTTATTACCTTCATGTTTTCTCTTGTGACTCTGAATATGAATTCAAACTCTTGTTTTAAATGAAGCAAACAGTTTAACGCTGATGCACTGCGGGAATGTTCTGAACAATTAGTAGTTTTTAATTAACGTTTTTCTTTTTTGCTTGTAATTATTGGGAGACATTAAAGGTCTGTGTGGCTCTGAGCTCCTTCCTCTTGGCTTCGTGAGCTTCTTAAAGTTGATGACAGAAGAGCCTCCGGTCCTGAGGCTGAGTCATCGCCCTGCTGCGGTCCTGAGGACACTTTCAGCTCCTTTCTGGTTCAGAGAACCAGCTGCGGAGGCGGAACTGGAGTACAACCAGTATGACCAGCATTCAGACTGGAACTGCTCGTCTTGGCGCCCAAAAACGTTTGACTTTAAAGAAATCTTTATCCAAACCCATGGTTAGCATACAGTTAGCGACAGACGTGACAGCTAGCATGAACTCAGCGTATCACACGGCGCTGGGGCTAGCTTAGATTTAGTTTAAAAACTTCACATTTTTAAATCTTTGTGATTTATGAAGACATTAATATGACTTTTTATTGACCTTTAACAAAGCAAACATCATGTTTTTCAGGAGATTCCCAACCTCTTTATTAACGAATTACCCTGAATACAGTTAGTCTGCTTTAAGTCGTTTCCATGGTTACAGTATAAACAGTGCGCCTGCTTCACTGTTTTAAACGCCTCCAGGTTACAGTTTTTACTCTGAAGAAGCTCCAGTCACAAAAAAAACAACTATTTATTCTAAAATAAAATCAGAGCAAATTTTTTCCTGCAGCTGGAAACACGAACAGAATAAATAAAGCAGAAGGTAACGGTGGTTGAGCTGAAGCAGCAGCAGGATTAAAGGTTGGTTACATGATGAAAGCTGCAGCCAGCTAAAGCTAATGAGGCTCTGTTTGATGGAAACTCGCTCACTTTGATGTCCGACCTGCCGCTCAGCCCGGACGGCCGCTTCCAGCAGAACATTCAGTCCGTCTAACAGAACCAGAACTGAAAGCAGATAAACATCAGAGCGGCTTTTAGCTGCAGGCGGCATCTGTCTGCTGATCGTCACAGGCTGACGCTGGCAGCACACTTATCACCGAACAATAAACAATAAAAACTCTGAATTACACATTTATCACTGCAGTGACAAACGGCAGAAGCTCCAAACAAACTGAAGAGTGGCAGAAAAACGTCTGAATACAGATTTTAATTCAGATTTTTCTTCAGACTCTGGTGGCCACCGCTAGCGGAAAGCTAGCTGTGCTAACATAACGCGCTACATTAGTTCAGCTAATGCTAACACTATTCCGACCGGGTCAGCAGCCGTTCCTTAGCGGGCCGAACAGAATCTGTTCCACCGTTCATCCTCCTCGGTTTCCATCTGATCCGGTCCGGACCAGTTCTGCTCCAACACCAGGCGGTTCTGGTTTCTCTCTGTCGGGTCGAGGCGCTGAGCGGGAATCAGTACAGTTACTGCAGCTGTAGCTCAGCGATCAGGCCTGAAACCTGGGAGTAGAGATGATGTAAATAACCCCAAATTAAGCTCCTTATTTGTTATGTCACATCTTTAGCACTTATGGTCTTTACTTTGTTTTATTTTGTACAATATATGGTTGACTCAGTTTTTGACTTGATGCTTTTATTTTGAAGAGACAACTTCCGCTGCCGGCAGCTTAACGACAGAATAGACAAGTTGCAACAACAACGTGTTAAAATGTATCTTATTATCCGCCCCTCGATGGAGGCACAAGCTCTTAGAGTGAAACTCAGGGTTTACCTCCAGTAACCTGGCTGTTCATCAGTAAAGCCACAATCCTTCATGTGGGGGAGGGGGGGGTCTGCTAAAGATGACCTCTGACCTTCCAGAGCCGCATGAAGCCGGTTCCTCAGTGGACCTTCTAGCAGCAGCAGAACATTCAGCCCCAGAGGACGAAAGTCTGAGACCAGAGAAACTCATCCAGGATTTAGTGGTTTGATTCCTGCAGCAGGTCAGACTGAGACCAGAAGCTGCAGCTGGAGATCTGACTAGAACCAGGAGGGTAGAGACACCACCTGGTTCTACACCACCCGGTTCTACACTGTCTAGTTCTACACCGTCTAGCTCTACACCACCTGGTAGTTTATAAATCACTAAACAGATTAAAGATCTGCTGCTGGATCAACCTGCTGGTTCTGGTTTATCAGAACCAGAACCAAACATGGAGAAGCTAGATTCAGCTTCTATTCACCACAGATCTGGAACAAACTTCCAGAAAACTGAAACCAGTCGAAACCCTGAGCTCCTTTAAATCCAGACTGAACCAGCTGGTTGGAGCCAATTTAGAAACATAATCAATGAAACAATAATCAATAATCTGATGTATAACAACAACAAAATTTATCTATGATTTTGTATATTTGTGTTTATGATGTAGATCGTTTTTAGCTGCCTTGCTGCTGAAAGGTGCTATACAAATAAATTGATTGATTGATCAGTAACTGCAGCTGTTTGGTTCTGCAGGTGGTAGATTGTTCCTGGGACGAGACGGTGAAGATCTACTCACCTTCCTGCCTCGCTGCAGCACCATAACACACACACACACACACACACACACACTGCTGAGCGTCTTCCGGACAGTGGGCGGTTCTTCCGGCTGGATTTGAGCTCCTATTGACTGATTGGACTCTGAGTTCATTAAGATGTGATATCTAATCATAAAGTGTTTTATGTAAATGATGTTTATGATGAAATAAATATTTTATTTATCATCCAGTCGTTTCAGCAGCAGAACCTCCAAACCTTTTGATAACTAAACCCTAAATCCACTTTTCACTGCAGACAAACTGAATAGTTTTTATGTTTCTGTGCAAATTGTGTGATTGCAAGTGTCTCAGTGCTGCCTTTAAGGGTTGAATGGTGGTACTGCAGCTGAATTTTCCTATTGGTTCCAGCGTTCCAGCCCTGTGATTGGCTATAAAACCGCCTCACTCAGACGCGCCCCCTGATGGCGAGTCAGGAGGTGGAACAACGAACACGGTGAGCGTTGATCAGCAGCTGGAGCCGTTTGCTGCTGAACTCACCAGATTTGATGCGAGTCACTTTTATTGCTTTACAGTGAGATGGTGAATTAAACTGACTACATGGAGACATTATTATTATTATTATTATTATTATTATTATTACTGCCATTGGTTTTCAGTGTTTTCCTTAAGAAATAAAAACATCCTCCATGTTTTAGATTTCTGATCCTCCAGTTTTCCTCTGAAGAAACAGTTCCAGTTAGTTGAAATTAAAAAGCATTTGAAGAGTAAACGTGAGTGAACCCAGAGCGCTGCAGGTTTGTAATGGATGTGGGCGGGGCATCCCCCCTGCCGCCCTGAAAACTGATTTTCTGATTAAATATTTCAAATAAAATGATTTCCCCGCCTGTTGGGAGCTCAGCTCATCCTGAACAGGAATCATAACATTTATCCTGAGAGAAAACAGAACCCGACTGGGTCAGAACTTCAGATCTGAACACATTCAATCTGAACGCAAAGTTAAACCTGTTTGTTTAAAATTACAGCAAATAAATCCAGAAACTTTCAGGAACCAGAAGAAAATCTGCTTTTAAAAATGAAAGAAAACTATACAAAACAAAGTGAGTTTAATTTGAAGTGATTAATGTTTTTCGCAATTTCATATATTTTATTCTATATATATTGTTTTATTTAACGTTTCAGCCTTTTCATAAAATCTGTTGTCTTAGTTTTTATTTGATTTCATTTAGTTTTATTTATCGCTATTCATCATTTCATCATATTTTAATTTATTAAAGTTTCATTTTATATCATATTTTTGTTAATTTCGTTTTAATTTCACTTTTTTTATTATTATTATTATTATTTTACTCCACTTCTTAGCAGCCATGTTAAACAACAGTTTTTATTTGTGTTTTATCACATTATTAGTTGCGTTTTTCAGAGCAGCTTTGTTGGGTCTTTAGAAACAGCAGCTCGGAGTTCCTGGGAAGTTTTTCCGTGAATGTGAGGAGTTTGGCCCCCGTGGAGGAGCCCCGGGCTCCGGCTCCCCCTCCCCCCGCTGCGGTAAAATCTCCTGAGTGGCTGCGGTTCGTGCCGCTCCGCCCCCCGCCGCTCTGCCTCCCCCTCAGTGCGGAGCCGGAGCGCAGAGAGGAGAATCCCTCCTGAGGATCAGCTGGAGGCCCCCCGCCGCCCGGGTCCAGGTGAAGCCATGGAGGTGTTCCGGAGCCGGCTGCTGGGGATCTCCGTGGCCGTGGCGCACGGCGTGTTCTCCGGGTCGCTCAACATCCTGCTCAAGTTCCTCATCAGCAACTACCAGTTCGGCTTCCTGACGCTCATCCAGTTCCTCACCAGCTTCACGGCCATGCTGGCGCTGGAGAGCCTGCGGCGGCTCGGGAGGATCCAGGTGCCGCCGTTCGGCATGCAGCTGGCCAAGGTAGGAGCCGGAACAGGTTCTGGAGGGGTTCGACCCAGAACCGGTTCTGGTGTTCCACCTCAAGTTTTATGGGGTTATTTGTTTTATTTCTGCTGCAGGTTGGATTTATCTTCTGAAATAGTTTTTTAAATATTTGACTCTAAATTGAAGGAAAACCGGACCGGACCGATCTGTAGAACCGGACCGCACTGGCTGCGGTTCGGAAACTTTCTGCAGCTTTTCTCACTTCCATCAGGATGTTTTACTCCAACAGTCCATTCAGTTCATCTCCAGTTTTCTGTTACAAATCAGTAACTTTTATTCTTTTATTCAATCGATAACTTTTAAAAACCTTCAGATCTACAATCTTCTTCAAACATCAACATTGAATTAAAATTGATCCCAGAGGGAAATCAAATGTTGAAACTCATTAATTTAAATTCTCCAGTTGTTGTACATGGTTGTTATCAGAGAATCCTCTAGATGAACAGATTCCAAACGTTCCTTCTTCACCAGAGGCGAAATTATTTTCTGATGTTCCTACATTAAAGGCTCTGCACAACCAGATGTTGGATCCAGAAAATGCCAACTAGAAGTCATTTCCCCTTTACTCTGGCGCCCCCTGTGGCGCAGCGCCCCTGTGGTTTATATGCAGATCCGGTTCCGCTCCGACACAGAAAATGTTTTGTTCTCATTTTTTATGTTTTTTTAATCAGAATAAATCCGTGAATTTTCCGGTGCAGCTCCGTCCTCCTGAGCGCAGAGGATCTCACTGCGCATGCGCAGCAGAGGGATAAAAATGACGTGAATCTGATTTCTGTTATGATTCATAGAAAACATGAATGTTTATTAATAAAGGTGGTGTAAATATACTGCTGTTTTCTTCATAAATGGATCCTATTGGGCAGATCCAGCACCTGGATCCGAACCGAACCAAACCGGGATCAAGCGGTTCCGAGGTTCTGAAAGCTCCGCTACTGAACATCCGCAATCAGACTTTCTGTCACATTTAGCTCTGGACTCCGGTTCCGATGTTTCAGAACTTCAATGTTCCCATCATACATTGAGGAGCCCCCCACAGCATGATGCTGCCACCACCGTGTCCCAGAGTGGAGTCCCTCAGTGCTGGGTGTTGCATCCATATTACATTTGACGTCTTGCTTATGACTTTGTTCTGTTAATATTTTTACTATTTTATGTTTCTCTTGTCCTTGCCCTAATACTCCCCGTTGTGCTGTAAAACGGCGCAGCTGATGATGTGTGTTTAGGACACTTTGCTCCTGTTTGCGCAGGAGTTTGCGCCAGTCTGCATCCTGTCCACGCTGCAGTCCACGCTGACGCTGTGGTCGCTGCGCGGCCTCAGTCTGCCCATGTACGTGGTGTTCAAGCGCTGCCTGCCGCTCTTCACGCTCTGCATCGGGGTGTGCGTGCTCCGGAACGCGCTGCCGTCTGTGGGCGTGGTGACCGCCGTGCTCATCACCACAGGGGGCGCTGTTCTGGCAGGTAAGAGCCAGGATTTCAGGAACTAGTTGTTTGTGTTCATCCATCCATCCGTCCAGTGGTGCGGACACTTCCTCTAATCCGCTAACAGCAGAGCTAACTTTTAGTTTAGCACTTTAGCACTAATTTCCCTGGCTGATTGGTAAATGTTCAGCTGAATAAAAGTTCAAAATCTGAGTCTAAGTTTTGGTTAAAATTCTTCAAGAAGTTATGCTCTTATTTTGAAGTGGGTGTAGTCTATTTATGCAGCAGTTCAGTTTCCTGTCCTCACTTTCTCTCTCTTCTACTCAGTAACTTGATTTTAAAAAACAAACACAAACAGTAGAGAACAAGGCTAAATACCATGTTAGCATTAGCTTCTGTTAAATACCATATTAGTATAGCACTTAAGAATTAGCTTCCACAGACTGCCATGTTGGTAGTGTTTAGCATTAGCTTCTACTGATTACCGTGTTGGTGTAGCACTTTAGCTAATGATTGTGATTCATTCTTTAGCACAGCTCAGGTGGAAACCTGCCTTCATGGACTGGAGCTCAGACTGTCGGCCTGCAGGTTCACTTCCTGTCTTGGTTGTTTCCTGCAGGAGCCGGAGACCTCACCGGGGATCCGTTTGGTTACGTCACCGGGGTTCTGGCTGTAATCATTCACGCCTCCTACCTGGTTCTGATCCAGAAAACCAGTCTGGAGAGCGAGTATGGACCTCTGACTGCACAGTACGCCATCACCATCATGGCGTCTCCGGTGCGGAACCTTGTTTTAGGAATTTCCTGCTTTCATCTTCGTTTCTGGTTTGTTTTCTAACGTTCTTCCTGTTTCCAGGTGCTGCTCATCTGCTCTATCATCTCCATGGACGCCCTCAACATGTGGACCTACGAGGGCTGGAAGGAACCTCAGATCACGGTCATCTTCATCCTGTGCATCTTCATCGGCTGCGCCATGAACTTCACCACCCTGCACTGCACCTACATCAACTCGGCCGTCACCACCAGCTTCGTCGGCGTGGTCAAGAGCATCGCCACCATCACGGTTGGCATGCTGGCCTTCAAAGACGTGGCGCCCACGCGGCTCTTCATCGGCGGAGTGGTGGTGAACACCATCGGCTCCATCACCTACTGCGTGGTCAAATACTTTGAGACGCAGAAGAAGAGTTTGTACGAGGACCTGGAGAAGGACGCGGCGCAGCCTGGAGACTCCTACACCGAGAAACCCCCGCTGAACGGGGAAGAGTCCGCCGCCGGTCCCGAGCCGGGGCCGTCAGAGAGCGGAGACAGGAAAGAGGACGAGGCGCCTCAGTTATCGAACGGAGCGCTGTCGGTGGGCGGGGGCGCCGAGGGAGACGGTGGCCTGAAATCTGTTGTGATGACGGAGAAAGAGGCGCTGGAGATGCAGAGGGAGCACCTCCACCAGGAGAACGCCGCCGCCGGCCGGTCCGCCACCCAGAACCTCGTAGGAGCATTGAGGTCTATCAGGAGTCTGCAGCTCACCAAGAAGGAAAATCTGATCGATAACATAGAGCTTCAGAGTCCATGAGGGCGGGATGGAGACCCAAACGGACTCTTGAGCCGAAACAGAAAGGAACTCAGCGGACGGAGACCGGACAGACCGACAGACCGGACAGACCGGAGGACGTCTTTCATTTGCATCGGCCCGCTTGGCAAATGCTTGATGGTCTTGTTGGCTTCGTTATCTCTGTGCTGAAGATTTCACGTCCCAGAACTGCAGAACCAGGAGGCGGACTGACCGTATCTCCATGGTAATGAGCAGTTCCAGTTTGAGCCAGCAGGGGGCGGAGCTTCTTCTTGGCATGTGGAGGGGTCGGCGCAGAGCACGGCCA